CTTGCCACAATCCCCAAGAATTTTTACCGATATTTATCCCACGTGTTTAATGAGGGACCAATAACCACCTTTGTTTGAATCCACATACTCCTCTCCCGCTCCAAATTTCCTCCTGGAAAAGATCTTGGGTGGTTGAGGGTAATATAAATAAATATATTTTTTAATTTTTTATAAAATATAAGATAGGTTTGAAATGATGTGTTAGAGAGGCGATGTGATCTAAATAAGTTGACGTAATTTAAATAGAATAGTGAGTTTTTAACTTTTTTTTAAGTTATGACAAATAAGACTTTTATATTTATAAAATTTATGAATATAACAATTAATTACAAAAAATAATCTTAATTATGCATCACAGCAACAGACCTCACTTTTAAAGAGATTGTTTCACTTAAATTTTTTATCTATATTTTTTAATAACTAGGCATAGTTTGGGAAGTTGGTTTTGGTGGGTTAGGGGCTAAAATAGTCATAAAAAATAAAATAGACTATTTTAGCCACAAAAAACAAAATATCAAATCCAACTCATAATCATTACACTCCTCTCTCTCACAAAAAAAGTCAAAAAAGTCAAAATGTCCTTTCCAAACAAGGCTTTTTAGCCCAGGTTAAAATAGTCAAAAAACTAAAAAGTCAAAAATCTAACTCACTTCCCAAACGGAGACTATGTATCCTTAAACTACGCTTCTTCATCACGTAATCATTATAGTATTACCAAATTGCAAATGGTAATCAAAAAAAGGAAAATACAGTTTTTTATTTTTATTTTTTTTTGGTGATAAATATCCAGTTTTTCAATTTTTAATTTTTTTTTAACTTTCTAAATGCACGTAGTCTAAATGTACTTATGAAGTAAAATATTTATGAAAAAAAATTTTATGAAAGAAAAATCAATTAAAAAAAGAAGAAGATATAATAAATGTATTAAATTTTATATTTTTTGTTTTGGTGAATTTTTTTAAATTCAAATATTTACTTGTTAAATATATCTAAAAGTTCAAAAACTATATTTAAAACCAAACATTGTAATGATTCAACTTCAATTCCTTGGCAATTTGGCAAGGTTTTGCTCTTTTTTGAGTTCGAAAGCACAGCAGCAGTTGGTAGCAAATGACAACCACAGCTGTCCTAGCATCCAAATCCACTCCCAACACCAATTTGCTCGAAATACACTCAACTCATTCACATTAGAGTGTTTGCGGTTTGATTTTAAACACGGTTCAATTTTAAACGGTTTGATTTGTGATTTGAACCCATTTGTGTATTTGTAGTTTGAAAAAAATTAAATCCACAATCGCCCGCAATATGGATTGTGCTTTGTGCAGATAGAATTTACTGATGTGCGGGCCATTATAGACAACTTGCAAATTAGACTTTTTTTTTTTTTTTTTAAAATTTGGAGCCTGTTTTTTATCGTTTTGTAAATATTTATTTTAGGCTATCCCCCCCTTCCCCCCCTTAAAAATGCTCAACATTAATAATTAATGTATTAAAACTTATAAAATTGAAAACACAACAAAATCAATACTTTTAAATAAAATCATAAACTAATACATGCACATTTTTTAAAATTCTAAACTAAATCATTAAAATCATTCACTATCCAACAATACGATTAAAGCAAAATCATTCAAAATCCTAAACTTACCTAAAAGTAATTATTCATTAACTTTTACATTCATTCAAAATGCAATAATAAAATAACAATAAATTGTTGTTAAATTTCATCCAATTCAAACACATTAAATAAAATAAAAACATTTGCAAACTCGCAAACTCCATCTAAGATAGGAGGAATGAAATCAACGGTCCAGGTTTAAAATAAAAAAAAATAAAGTCTAATTGCAGACGGATTCTTGCGAGTGTGGGTAAAACCCGTGACCTACCTGTAATCCGCAATAATATCATATTTGAAACTGCATCCATCTGCATTATGTCTGTGAAATCACCATTTTGTATGTAGATCGGTTCGGATTGAGCAGGTTATACGGTTCGGATAACTCTATATCCCGTCCTACCCACATCTACAAAGAAGGGCCATTTAAAAACATGTCAAAAAAATCAAAAGTTAATTTTTAATCTATTTTAAGTCATATCACTTCTCTCATAAAAAAATTTAAAAATTTAAAAAAATTAACTTTCAACTATCTTGTCAAGACACCCCCTCCCAAACATTTTGGAGAATGGACTGTATATAGGAAAAAAAAAATATTTGAAGGTCACAATTTTTGTGACTCAAATGATTCGAAATTACCAAAACGATGTCGTTTTGATAATTTTAAAGTTAATTTGTATTCAAAACAACGTTATTTTGATAATTTCAAACTATTTAAACCACAAAAATTATACCCTCAACCATTGCTGATAAGAAAAATCAATCTTTAGGTGGTCAATTACATCACAGATCAATCATTGCTCTCAAATTGTTCACTGACAAAAAGTCTTGTATATTGGAGAATTTTATTATACATAGGGGTGTTTTAGATTTTAACTTACTTTATTTCTTAGAAAAAAGATTAAAAAATTAAAAAATTAAAAAAAATTAAAAAATCAACTTTTAACCATCTTTTTAAAACATCTCACACTTTATATTATATATATTTTTAATTATGTTATTTTTTTAATTATAATATTATTTTAAAATTTTAGTTATAATTTTTTTATGTTTATTTATGATTTTTTTTATTTATACCTCAAAATATAAAGTTATATTATTTTATTTTATTTTATAATTATGAAATATATATGATATATACCTTCCGAGAGGTGTAATCTTTCCTATATTAATCAGAGATAAGACTATGGTTTAGACATGACAACATATTATACAATTTTCCCATGTCCTCTGCTTCAACAGATTCCCCCCTAAACCCAGGTTCCAGGCTGTCTCTTTTGGACTATCCTTGCAATAATTTAACCATCTTTACAATCATCAATTATGTTGTCCTCAGAGAAAGAGAGAACTAACGAAAAATCTATAGATTCTCTATCAAAGCAAACACAAAAAATCTTTAGGTGGCCAATTACCTCTTCCCCGTTTGTTATGAGAGATAAAGAAGAAATTAGGATGAAGATAAATGTGAGATCTATTAATATTATTAAGAGATAGAGAGGATATTCATAATCTCTTCCAAATTAGGATAGACTTTAAGAAGGAAATTAAGACGAAGGCTTAAGACTTGGTATTAAAAAATAATCTACCGAACTATTTTTTTATTTATTTTTTACATATTGGGTATTTTTTTTAATATTAATGTTTAATATTTTTATATTCTTTTATTTGTTTTATTATTTTATATTTATTTTATATAAAAATAATTTAACAATCCTTATACCAGCAATTATCATCAAAATAAATATAATTTTATCCAATTCCCTTACTATTAATTTTTTTCATTGCGAATATCTTCTATTCTACCTCTAAAATGTCCCAGGCCTTCCCCCCTTTCAGTGGCAGGATACAACTGGATCCATGACATCATTGACGATCCGTTTGGCAAAACTATTTACAGCTAAAAGAGAACCAGCTTTTTATTTTTACTTTTATTTTTTAAAAAAAGGCAAAAAAAAAAAGAAGAAGAAAAAGAAGTAGAAGAAGAAGATAAACTACCCTCTAACTTCCACCTAAAATTTCAATTTCATCCTTCATCTTATAATTGTTACAATTAAGACCTTAAACTTCAATATGAATTTCAATATAATCCTTCCGTAATCATAAAATTTAAATTGAGTGAAAAGTGAATATTCAAAGGTGAAAGTGTACTTTTTTCTCTAATTATTTGTTTTAATGTCCTTAAAAGGTGCTCCTGTCTATGTGGTCATCGCGTGAACGCAATGTTCATTTTTCGCTGAGTGATTTGGTAGAAATTATTTTAAATTAAAATTTTGATAATCAAAAAATAAAAATTAAAAACATCGCTCACTCAGTTTTTCAAGAATTAAGATAGTATTTGGTTGGATGTTCAAACTATGATTTCACCCTTTGGTTTCAATATAATATTTGTTTAGATTTTTTAAAAATTAATTTTACACCAACTTTTAAAAATTCTTTTCAATGCGAGAAAATTTAAACTAAACAATCGTCCTTCCAAATGTTCGGCCGGTCATTCTCCCAGACATCTGGCCGGTTGACCGGTACGGTATAAATTTTTTTGTTTTTTTATTTACAATTGACACCTATTATTTTTTTTTTATATTTAAATAAAAAAAATTTTGAAACTTCTTAAATTTTTTAAAAAGTTTTAAATGGAATTCTAAATTGCATGTTTGGTTATAAGTTATAAGTTTTTTATCAACTATTATGTCACATCAAAAACTCCCCACTCAATTCAAAACTCATTCACCAAACAAATTTTTCACACTCAAATCAGAATTCCAAAACTCACAAACTCAAAATACAACTGCATTCTCAAATAATATTTAGAAAACTCTACCAAACGCTATCTAATTTTTTTCAACATTATTTCTACCTAATAAGTTATAAACAAAAATTGAACCAAATAATCTGACATAAACTCTCATATTAAAATAAGTTATAAGCTAATTTCATAATCCTCACCAAACACCCCAAAAGAACTACATTGAAACAACAGTCGATGCCTGCAGACTTGGTTACTACAATTAAAAGAGGAAGGATACAATTAACAGTAAAATTCAAACGAAAATTGGGCGGTGAAAATCTAGCTTCAAAAAATTGCCCTTTTTGCTTATTTTGAACATTTTAAACTCAAAAAGGCAAAGAAGCTAAAAACTTCAAAAATTATGCTATCCACCCGAACTTTTCACAACACAACTGCAAGCCTTACAATTATTTAATTTTAAGCTAAATAAACTGCACAAATTTTTTTCCAAACAGATCGTTATCTCACACCAGCCATTGGGCCAACCAAGGCCAACCGTGTAAATCAGTTCAATTTAGATGTAAGTTCATCAGAACCCATGATAGAAGGGTGGAAAGGGAGCTTGACTGCAGTACATGCATTAGGAGGAACAAGGCAGACTGATGGAAATCTCAAAGGATATCTATAGATATCAGAAGTGAAAAATTACATATAATATAGAAAAGGAACAAAATAAAAAACTAAAGGAACGATATGACAAAAAATATTAAATATGTTCCTAGCAAACCCTACTAATTTAATGACTCAAAGGAGCAAAGAAAGAACAAAACAATTGACAAGGAAGCTACGCGTAATGGGAAACAGGATTTACATGTAAAAGATGGCATAGATCTGTTCGACAAGGCAATTGTCCACTTAGAGACCTGAGGCAAGTGGATGCAAAAATAGTAGAAGCAGTAGAAAGATATTCACCAAACCAATGTCGGACAATAGATGCTGAGTTGAGGCAGCTGATGGCTTTGGGGGAGTCCTTCCAGCAACAGCTGGAGCAACCGCGTGCCCACTAGGTGCACTTTGCTGCTCGGTTGTTGGCAATGGGTTGGGAGCACTAGTATTTGGAGTCAGTGGCATTCTCTTACCATCACTGAGATCTTGACCTGTCATACAAATGCATACTTTTTTAAGTTAGAAATGAATGAGATAGAATAACCAAAAGCTGATTCAACGACCCACAAATTTGGGCAATAAGCGATTGAATGCACAAACAATTACAAGCCACGTTTTGAGTTGGCACGTCACAAAAATAGGAGATTGTGAAACGTCATGTACTCACAATTGGAACGTGACCAGCCCAGCTTCAGATTTTCCCTATCAAATACCACTCGATAACCAGTCATGTAGTTCTCTGCATAAAGAAGGTTGCTTGAGATTAAAAAAATTGAACCAGGGGAGATTTTATCACAGATAAAGAAGAGCTATTCTCTCACTTACGTCCAATTGTTCCAATATCTCCATCTGTTGACTCTATGGCTAAACAAAATCCAACAATTCCCTGCACAAAACGGGCCCCCATGCATCAAATTTTATAAATCAGTGGCTGAATTGTTGTTTTAAACTCCTAGGACAATTAGACATGAGTAAGCAGCATTTACACACTTTGACCTTAGAATAGACAACCATGGTTAGAATGAAGGCAACCAGTCGTGGCCCTCATTCTCATTCCAGAAATAGAATATACATTGCTCTTGGTTCAATTGCAAGTTCTCTAACACTAACATCAGGATGGAGGATTGTTCATAAAGATGCTATAGGTAATATATTAATTCAAGAGTTCACCATCTGAATTTCACAGTTTTTAACCTAACATGTTTTCCATTTCCTTCTTTATCATGAAGAAAAGAAAGGGCTAGGCTCAAAAATTCCAGAACAATATGCCCAAAGTTCATCCTATGATGTTATGTATATGCACTATGAAAAGAAAGCATTGGAATATACAATCATTTTACTGTGTCCACACCAAACAATTGTTCTAATTGAAAATTAATGACAAATATGAAATAACTGTGACCTCCCATAATTGAGTTACAAATAAAAAATAATAATAATAAAAAATAACAGAAGAGTTGCCATATACAAACTACAGTTTACTGCAAAAACATTGAAATATAAATACCTTGCGTTCCAAAATTTGTTTGTTAAGTTTGAGGCTTTCCTCCCTTCGCATAAAACAGAGTAAATCACTTTTCCCACTATTATACTTGAAACGAGTTCAAGATCATTTAATAGTTTCTGAAACCAAATCCCCACAAATGTAATTCTGGAAGCCAGCATGGAGGAGTAGATTTAAAAGATATGCAATTTAAGAAATGGATCTTGAATTAACACTTTGATACTAAATTTCCTGCCAATATGCCTGAAAAAACACCTCCCAAGCATGAAATCCACAAAAGGTCCACATAACAAGACAATATTTTGACAAACAGATTGCCTTCGGGTTCTACACAACTCAGATTATTGGTATTGCACACATTTCCCTTCTGAACCCATTTTAAAGGGCCTTGTTGGACCAATCATCCCATTGACAATCAATTCTTTTTAAAACTTGAACTATTAATTTGGAACCACAAATATCCTTAGTTGCACCAAGCTGGGACAAGGGGAGGAGGCAGGAGCAGGGTTAAAGAAGCAAGGGCAAGTGTCTAGGGTTGGGAATGCCTAAGGGAGCATTTATGTTTTTTATTTCCCTCTTTTTTTGGCCCAATTGTAATATATAGGGAAAATTACATCAGTAGTCTCAATATTTTGACTCATGTCATTTTGGTCCCTAGAATTTCAATTGGCTACATTTTGACCCTGAAAGTTATACCTTGTCTCAATTTGGTCTAATTGAGGCCTCGTTTCAGAAGTAATAGTTTTAGCTTAAAAGTCAAAAAGTTACTAAAAAAATCAAAAAGTCTATAACCTATACCAAAAAGTCAAAGGTAGTGTTTGATAGAGTTTTTTAAATATGATTTGAGAATAGAGTCGTATTTTGAGTTTGTTAGTTTTGAATTATGATTTGAGTGTGAAAATTTTTTTTGGAAGTTTTGAAAAGAGTTTTTTTTTTTAATTGAGTTTGAAATGAATGATGTGACATGATATTTAATTCAAAAACTTACAACTTATAACCAAACACACAATCCTAAATCCTATTCAAAGCTCATAAAAAATTTTAAAAAAATTCTGGAAATATTTTTTTATTTCAAATATAAAAATAACAGCTGCAAAAAAAAAAAAAAAAAATGAACACTGTTCCGGTCAAGCAGCCAAACGTCCGGATTAGCCAAATTTTCCAGCCTGGAAAGGAGTTTTCAGACGTGAATGTGGAATTAATTTTTGAAAACTATAACCAAACACCACGTGCAAACCAAGGGGTGGAATTAAAGTTCCAAAACTCTACAAACAAAGCCAACGATTCTCTTCACTCCTTACTTTTTGCACATCTTTTTGTAAAAAATCAAAAAGTCATTTCAAGCATACAAGTTTTTTTTTAACTCATTTTAGATAAAAAGTCAAAAAGTTACTAAAAAAGCATGTTCCCAAACAAGGCCTGATTACATCTATTAGTATTTTTTAATGAAAAATATGCATGAGTGGTATGTGTCATGCTTTTAGACACAAAATTACAAACTTAATCAACTCAATAAATTAACCCCAACCAACTAAGTACTTATTTTCCATTAAAAATCCTAACGATGTTATCAATTGAATCAAATTGACAAAAAAAATTCAAATCAAGGGTCAAAATTGAGTCAACTGAAAAGTATAGGGACTAAAATAACACGAGACAAATGTAACGACTACTGATCTAGGTTACCCTAATATATATTTAAATGTCTACATTATGCTGCCACTTAATACAATTAAAGATAAGCATAATAAATTCTTATTACAAATGTAACAATTCATTATCAATAACATATATTTTGCTTCTTAGTCATCAAAGAACCCAAATTAAAAGATTTATCAAAAAATCCTCATCCTTTCAATTTTTAAAAGGAAAACCAAAATCGAGAAAAATATACAAGTTCTCCACAGATAAATATTTGTTCTCTACATATTATGAAACACTACTAAGAAGGTAGTGTGTTTGTGTCAGATACAGACACAATTGAAACCGTGATTCGATCTTGACGGAAATGCGACTCTAACTCGACTATTGCTTTGAACAGCAGAATCACAATTCTAGAGAAAAAAACATCACCTCTAGTAGGTGATTTATGCAACTAAGCAATTGTCTAGGAACATAAGAATAAACTAAGTACGGACACATGACACGACATGGATACACTAACACATAATTTTTTTTAAATGTAGGGCACAACACATGAGGGAATACGGCACAAAATATAAGATTTTATATATTTATTATATAGCATATATAAGGATAGATAATTATTATGTGTCATATATATGAATATTTATTTCAAAGAATAAATTTTAAAGTTTAAAAAAAGAGAATGTGTAAATTTTCATTGCCTTTCTTTTATCACTAGATTCTAAGTTATTTTATTCAAACTTGTAATAAATTTCATGTGTCTAAGTGATAGAAGCGTGTTCTTCAAGTGTTTGAAACGTGACCTAGTCCTTAATTTTTTTTTAAATAGCAGGACATGTTTGGATGTGTGTCTGATGAGTGTCATGTAATATCGGTACAATGGTATCAAACACGACACGCTACCTTCTTAGAAGTGTCTGTGTTTCATAGATAATAAGCAAATCCAACCCATGAACCAATCAAGGATTAAAATTCCATTTTGATGTGTTCTCGATTAACTTGCAAAAGAAAATATTTCAAAAATGTTTTGAAAACATGGGGTAAACAACAAATGTCGGAAAAACATTGTTTGAAAACAAAACTAAAACCTATCTAAATATATATGTAACCTAATAATTAGACACATTAGAGGTACACTAATCCATTCACTTAGAAGGGCACAGGCGTACAATTTGGTATTAAATGTCAATATGAATACACAATCATTAAATTAAAATCAAACAAATTATCAAACACTATTGTTTATGATTCTGCATATGCACAACGGAAAATAAACAAGGTTCACCAAATATATAGGAATATTGACAAATGTCAAGATTTAAGGGGTAGAGAGGTCTTTTTAGATTGAAGATTAAAAAGATCTTTTAATAAGCTTAAGATTAATATTCAACAAAGATCAAGAAACATTAGAAAATCATAAACCTCAATTTAAAGGTGAGTTGTGGAGTGGGTTTGCTGTTGTAAGAGAAACCATTAAAAAAAATGTGCTAACAATACCAAACAAAACTAAACCATGTGTCACGATCAAGTGGGGTTGGCTATGTTAAAATTTACCTTCACCTACCACACACTTACCATCACCTACCACACACTCACCTACTACACTCACCTACTCCTCACCTACCACCACCTACTCCACTACACCTACATCTATATAAGGAACCATTTGTAATAGACAGAATTATTAGATATCAATCAATAATACATCAATTTATTCACTTGCTCTCTCTCTCTCTATCAATTTTTCTTACAGGCTACATGACTAAGTGAGAGAGAAACGAAAACAACTTTGTTCAAAAATCCTGATGTGTTGAAGCCAATCATTGTTTCAGTGTGTTAATGTTTCAACAAGTTGCAAATAGAAAGAAAAAACAAATATTGCATCATTGGTTATGCTTGCATGTTTCAAACAAACATCTTCCTGACCCTATTTAATGCTAAAGAATTCCATGTTGCCAACCATATAGTTTTTATCTCTCCTGAAGAATCTACTACTCGATCTCTAAGATATTTCATAAAATTTGATGTTTTGTTATGCTTCAATGGAAAAGTTGGAATTTCATAGTTGCACTCATGTTTCAAGTTGGTTTCTTAGGAAAACAAAAACATTTCAGCCATTTTGATGAAGAAAAAAAAAATTCCTTGGATGCAATAGGGTAGTACACTAAATTGGTGGTCAAGCTGAATTTACATGTCATGGCTACAAATTGGCTATTTAGACCATGCTCAACCGAAACTACATAATCAACAACAAGAAACCTTGATAAAATTGAAGAAGCAGCATCATGCAATAATACAAAACAACCTACAAGGAAAAACATACAAAGAAAAAGAACTTGTAATAAATTGAAAGGCAAGAAAGGTTATCTTATATCGGGGTGAAGGAATAGAGAAGGGAAGCAGAAGCAGAAGCAGAAGCAGCAGCAGCAGGGAAGAAATACAAAGGTGAACCAGACAGGGAGAAGAAGAAAAGAAGAGAATGTAGATAGAGAATAGAAACTAGAGAGAGAATAGAAAGAAGAGAAATGAGGAGAAAATAATGGAAAGAAACAGAGGAGGGTGAAAGAGAACCTGCCACACAGGGAGAGACATAGTTATGCTATGGTTAACATTCAGTTATGCCAATACTAACTAAAGTTCATTACACTGCCATATATATGTCTGTCCAAAAAACAAAATCGATAAGAATTCAGAGATATAAAATAAGTAAAAAAAGGTCCTAAAGAAATTCAACTCCTTAACAAATCTAAACACTAAGGCTGTGTTTGAATCATGGATTTAGGTAGGGATTTGGAAAGAGAAAAGGAAAAAGTGAAGACAATGTGAATAAAATATCAGCCCAATATTTTCTCCATTTCTTTTTCCCTTTCCAAATCCCTATCAAAAGCCATGATACAAACACAGCATAATTAGACACCTCCTTTACAATCTCCGGAAGTCATTACTTTTATATTATACTGATAAATCAAAGTGCACAACAGCACACCATGTGTGTGACCTCTCAATTGGAAGAGTCACCACTCCATGCTTATATAAGCATTATAATTTATATCCAATCATTTTAATGTTTCTTAGTGAAGAAGTTCAAAAACCTTTCAGAAATACATGGAGTTCAAAGTAAGTAGATAATAGTTGTGAAGGCAAAGAAAACTACTCTTGACAACAGCAGAGGAACACATCCAAGTTCTTTGAGATTTCTTGGGTTAGGCATGTGAGGATGTCCATTAAATTACAACCATGAGTTGGGTTTCATTGCAGTATATGTCCAGCTACACTCAATCAAATAAAAAAATTCCCTGTTCTAACTGAGCTGGATAAAAAAGTTCGTACTGTCACCAACCTGGTTGTCATGGATAATGAAAACAGGATCATGGACGACAAAGCTGTTGTTCACTGAAAATTTAAATGCCACAGAAGGAGTCTTGGGCATATCTCCAGAACTGTTTAAATGTAAATTTTTCAATGTTATCACATACAAGAAGACAAGGAAAAGGGAGGGAACCTCCAAAATTCTCTTCATTCCACGCAAATTTACCTGGACTTGTAGCAATACTTCCAAGGGGATCCCTCAAAGCTAGCACTTGTCGCGTTTACTTGTCTGTCAAACTATCACCAAAAGCATGATATAAGGCGATACTGCTAATGCATTCATGTCATAAAGTATAAAGGCAGTATAACATACCTCCTGGACAACCCTTTCATATGCTTCCTTTGGGAGAAATGTAAATGATGTCCCACTATCAACCAGTGCTTCGAAGCTTGTCTTATCAAGACAAGAACTTCCAATACAACATGCCTTGACCCCAACAATGTAGGTTATACTGGACCAAGAGTGGGCCAAAACAAGAGGAAATGACAAAATTACGAGAACATGTGAGACTAAGGCTTAATAATAATTGGAGATTTAATAGAAATAATAGTGAAGAAAGTATCTAAAATCAAATAAATAGTTCATACTATTTTCCGTCTGACGGCAGGAATGGAGTAGATTGTTGGGCAGCTGGTCCCTGGTCCCCAAAAAATATTCTCCCAGAATCATCATTGCCAAAACACAAAGAAAAAGAGTTCTGTACCAATCCTGCTTTTGCAAGAAAACTTGGAACAGAAATCTCGCCAAGTCCGAGACCCATAAGACCATCAGGAGCAACTCCATCTAAGTAAGCACCGCTTTGCATCCTCCCACATCTGAAATCAAGAAATTAGCAAAACTAAGTTGTAATTTGGTTATTACCGAGAAAAATCCTTCTTGAGAAATTTTGAAGCATATGAAGTTCATAAATCTGATGTGGCAGTAATAGATCAATCGGGCAGACCCTATAATGACGGGAGCCTGCACAGAAATATTGGATGCATCATCACTTCCTGCTGCAAGATGCAATGTATCCTCAACCAGCAATCCTGAACTGGACGTATTTTCCGAGTAGTAGTTAACTGTGTAAGGGCATGGCTGCTTAGGACTTTGGCAATTTGGACCCAGTTGACATAACTGATGACTGCAAGATAGGTGCTTGCTGGTGGTTGAGCCAGACGGGCTGTATTCATTTAAATCCCTATCCTGCATAATAGATGCCCCAAATACCAGGGAGCACCTGCCAATCAATCATTGGAAATAAGTGCTAAACCTGTTACCAAATCTTAGTAGAGACTCTGCAAATCCTTTGCCACAAATGCATGAAGAATGCTTTTAGATACATGTGCACAAAAGATTCGCCATGTACCAAGGAACACTGGCCAATCAATCAAGCGTAGGAGTGAAAGGCCTACTACCAAGTCTTAGAAGACTAGCTAGAGGCATAATTGTCAAATCGGGATTCGAATCATGAATCGAAATAGTCTCGTACCGAATCGCAAATCGAATCAAATCGTGAATCATAAAGATTCAATAACTTTTTCTAAATTACTTAGAAAAATATATCTACACACTTTTATATTAAATATATCTTATGAATATGAAATATTTAGACTTAAATTAATGAAAATGTTTTGAATGATGGTCATGTAGTTTAATAGGTAAGAAGTTAACAAATGTTCCTATGTAAGATCACCATCTTACCTTTTCCCTTATTTTTAGATATTTTTTATCAACCATTCTTAATAAAGACAGTAAACAAAGACAAACTCTCAATTTCTAAAGTAACAATAATTTTAAAATAATATTGACATTTGGACAAAAAGTATACATACTTTTCCAAGTAACAATGACCAAATAATAAGAAAGCATTATTTAGGATCTTTTATTTTAAAATCTAAAACATTTTAAACTATATAACTAACCTCACCCATATAATATTCAACTATATTTAATTTAATAAAATAATAATAGATAATTCATGGTGTAAGTTACTTTAGTCTTAAACATCTTTAGAAAATATATTATGATTTTTTAAAACTCTATGATCACTAAAATAATAACAAAACATGTATATATATTGGTCATTTTGGTACTAAAAGCTATTAGAAGTTGTATTGTGTCATTTTCACCAAAAAGATACAGAAAGAAAGAGTCGAAAATATGTCAAATACAATAATTTCAAAAGTTGCAAGAATCGTAAAAGGTGAATCGAATCGTGAATCGATTTTGAATCGTACAATTCACTAGAGATATACTTCCAAAAAAGATTCACCCATAGATTTGTATCGATTTTGCAAAAATTGTTAATTGAATCGCGAATCATAAGATTCTGATAACAGAGGATACAGGTAATATGAATTGATAAATAGACCTAACATACATTTATGAGTAGTTTAAGCAATAAACAAGAAGAAAGAAAATTACAATTTATTTTCCCCAAAAGGTTCCCAAATTTCCATAAAATAAGCTAGAAAGAAAGTTGTTAAAGACTATGTTGTGTACATTTTGTTAAATGCTTGTGGGATCTAATTTGTATTATGTTTAAGACTTAGTGGGCTTATATTTTGCTAAAGACTCGTGGCCACGTGATTTGTATTCTATTAGTAAGTAAAAGATTTGGGGGGCTGTGATTTTTTATTTTGTTAAAGACATAGTGGGATTGTATTTGCTAAAGACTTGATGGGTTTGTATTTGCTAAATACTTATGAAATAGTATCACAAGGCCACAATACTGGCTACTATAGGGGAAATAGAAAAGCCCATGTAACACTGAAACACTGAAACATGAGGCTCCTGCTATAACAGGACCTGGGAAGGGCAAGACGTATGCAACCTGACCCCCCACTACTAGAGATGTTTTCGTGACTCGAACCGCGCCACCAAGGACGTTAACATCAAGCCTTACCATTGGGCCAAGCAACCCTTTCATAACCCTGGCAGCTTGTCCCTCCTTCCAAAAAGGCTAGAATCAAAACACAACTACCCAACTTCACTCCTCAATAGACGGAGAAAAAAAGATAGGCATTTCCACTATGCTCAATGAAGATAGTGTTAGGCTCACCTGGCGAGGGACAAGGAGAGATAACAAGTGTATTCCCAATGAAAGGGGCTACCAAAAACATTGGATTTTTATAAGAAGGCGCGCAAAATGAAATCCAAATGTAATTGGGATCAACTAAGAAGTATATCAATGGCGGTATTAGTAGCGCTAGTAATTAATTGTGCACATAAAACTGTACCTGGCCTTACAAGGGTCCAAAGAGTTCCACTACCAATAGGACTTCCTGTTGAGATCTAAACCACATTATAGCTTCAAATTATATGAAAAACCCACAAGTTTACCCATTAATAACTACACAAACATTTATACCACTGAATTTAAAGAAATCAAACATTTATTGCTAACAAAAACATGGCACTTAGATTCTATAGAAATCTTCACATTCGCAATAATACAATTTTACCAAATTTTTGGTAGTTAACTAAAACATATAATACTACAATAGAAACAAATTGTAGAACACGCTGAAATCATAAAATATTATTATACTCTTGTGATATCTATGAATTTTATACAACTTTTTCTAATTTCTCTAGTTCTTTATCCTGTAGTTACCTCTCTCTTATTATCTTCAATGCTCCTATATTGTAACCGCATCCAATGACATAGATACAAGCTCTGTTATCAGAATCTTACGATTCGCGATTCATTTAACATCTAAATGTGTAGATATATGTTTTTAAGTGATTTAGAAAAAGTGACTGAATCTTTACGATTCACGATTCGATTCGATTCGCGATTTGGTATGAGATCATTTCGATTCACGATACGAATCCCGATTTGACAACTATGGATACAAGCCCTAAGGGTCAGGTCTCACTTCATATCTCTGCCACTGCATGCCTAACTTTAGACAGCAATCAGTAAGAGTGAAATTTGGAGGGCTCCTTTATTATGATAATTTACAGAGTTGCTTTGTCAAAAAGGTTCAGAAGTCAAAGTGTTAAATCAGTTCTATAATTTTTTGCAGAGGTGAAACCACTCACTCAGTGGCAATAATGTTTTTATTTAAAGATATACATCAATTAGCAACAACTGAAGGACTCACTGTTAGTTTCCTCAAGAGTTATATAAATTGTGAGAAGTGCTCCTTGCACAGAAAACAATGAAATGTGACAGAAGAAGATAAAAACAAAAGTGAAGAAACAAATATTTGTAAGATAAACCAAAGAGAAGAACAATTGACCAAGTAGCAACCGCAATGAGAATGTGACGGTAATGTAACAAAGTTATAGCAAAGGCTGGCATACCAGACTGTTATAGTAACTGGCAGATAGAGAAGCACATTGAATGCAGTCACATGGAACCCAAAGTAAGTCACTCCCAGAATCCAATGCAACGAGAAAAGAAACATTCGGCGTCCCTACATCGATCCAGGTGTAATGCAACCTGTTTGAAAAAAAAAATGTAGAAACTAGATGAAAAAAAATGATAAATAAACTTACAAAAAAGATTGAGTGAGAAAACTAATTCATCAAATTTCCCTAAATCAAAATCAAGATGAAAGTCACCTTACAAGGGGACATCTAGAAAATTATGGAACAAGAAGTAATAATCACCCGGAACAATAGAAGAACTGTTTGAACATTAATGAACTTTGTTACGCACTCACTAAGGAAATTACTTAAAAGACTAACTGCATTATTCAACAGTGTTAATGGCAAAACAATCAGGCAATTCCTTCAGCACGACCACCAACCCTCCAGCACACAGGTAACATCCAAGCACTACAACGGCATAGTACTAATATATTAAGATACACCATACAAAACATACAAAAAATATCTTCAACCACCTGCTAATAAAAAATGTCCAGACAAGGCAAAAATCAAAATTGACATAAGTTAAGCTAGTATGAGAAGAAATGGTGGCATGTCATTTGAAAATAATAGTACAAAATGGCAAAATGGCAAAAAGGACTCATATAGATGAACTCAAATAATTGGAATAACACTAGATTTGTCGATAAAAAACAAAAAAAAAACTAGATTGAATTGAGTTGACACCACACCACACTATTAATTGATGTTTTTTCTCTTTTTTCCTAATCTGGGCAATAAAACCAGAGGAGCAAAGACGGAACTAGGAGAAGACTGTGGGGGGCCATAGCCTCCTACTTCTGTGAACATTATTGTTGCTATAGAACTTTAAATATATATATATATATATATATATCATTTTATATATAAAATGACCCCTCAGTATAAAATATATATATGTCATTCTTCTTCCATTTTGAATTCTCTTTCTATTTTACAAAAAAAAAAACTTATTCATCTTAATAGAAATTACTTATATGGTATTTAAATTTTTTTAATGTATATATAATTTATATATCATATATACATACATGTGTGTTTTGTGTATATTGTGAAAAAAATTATTTTTCTTTTGGCCCCTCCGGTAATGAAATTCGGGTTCCATCCCCGCAGCGGAGTTGACTCATTTGAGCCCTAATGTCAAGGTTGAGAGCACAAACCAGAGAGTGATGTACAATTTGACTAAAAAGGCCAATGGTTATTACTTGACATGTCGATTAGTAGCTAGAATCACTTCGACACCTTTATCTACATACATTTTCTCATCCATGGTCCTTTATTTTATTTTACTTTTGATAAGTAAGATTTAAAATTAAATGAAGTTTTCAAGGAGGCACCATCCATATACAGAAGAAAGAAGAGACAAAATTTAAAGCTCCCAAGAAAGCTCAACAAACAAGTCCCAACAAGAGCTCAAACCTCCGAAAAAAGGACCTTCCCCGAGATTTAGATCAAATTCCATCATATCAACTGAAATAACCCTCAACTCACATAAGGAATATACCAAAATTTGACCCCATAAACGATAGAACCAATAATATCATTCATGAGTGTATGTCTTTTGACTTATTCAACCATCCTTCTCGCAATTCAGTTGACCTTTTATCGGTACAAACAAAATGATGATATCACTTCGAGCTTCCATATTTTCAACTCATATATACTTGTAATATCTAGAATCTTTTCCACTTTCCAAACCACTAAAATCATTTCAAAACACCTTCCAAGTGGTATATATTAAAGTTCCCTATAGAATTTATGTGGACCAGTATATCAATGTTTTATATGCCTACTAAACTAGATTTGTGATACTTTTCAACATTAATGTCACCGTCTAGAAAATTGAAAACAAAATCGGCAAATGAAATTGTAGAGAGCGATTAAACTCACCATCCAAAGTCGTTTCCTAAAGAAAACGCTCTGCTACCTTCGGAGGGGAAGAGAAACTGATAGCGAGAACCGAGCTTCATCTTCTGCCTCTGCACATCATTGGCCACAAGCATCTTGTAGTACTCCATGCTCTTCCGCTCTGGCCACGAACCAGACTCTCCTCCTTTCCTCGAAACCCTAAGCGCCTTCAATTCGTCAGAGAACCTGTGAATCAGCCTCGAAGAGAATGTCACGCCCACTACACATTTCACTAGAAGAACCGCCATTACAACGCAGAGCAAACACCGAGTCGCCATCGCGACTCCAATCAAAAACTCGAATGAGAAAAAAAAATTCAAAAAGGAGATACAAAAATCTAGGGTTCTTCGGACTGTAAACAAGCTTCCAAAGCGAGATCTAGCTTTCTCCGATCATGTACTCATTGCGAGAAGACAGAAATGAGAGAGAAGTATAATGGAGTAGAGATCAGAAGGAAATATATATATATAGAGAGAGAGAGATGGATAGATAGATATATACAGATAAATGCAAGTATTAGAGAAAGAATAGGAGTATGGAGAGAGAGAGAGAGAGAGAGAGAGCAATGGAGAAGTTTGGAGGAGGAAGGTAAAGTGAGGAGATCTGCAGGTTTTAAGTGGATAAATTACACACTTTTTTTACTTCCATCCTCCAAGTTTCTATCTTGGTTTCTTTTTTATTTTTTAAGTTACAATTAAAATTTCAAACTTTAGGTATTATTGGACATAAATTAAATAAGTGAATATTTAAATAAATGTATTTATTTAGATTATATCATTTTTTTAATTTTTTTTATACATCTTTTAATAAGAAGTTAAAAAATATATTTATTTAAATAATTCCAAACAACTCTTTACTTAAATCTCGTTTAAAAATACACTATTTTAATTAGACTATTTGATACAGCTTAAACTTTTGCCTTTAATTAACTTGAAATAACATATTTGATGTAGTATATGTTAAAATAATATAATTTTTTTATTTAAAAAAAAATTATATATATATATAAAATAAATAAATAGAGCGTTTACCAACTTTTGACCGATAATTTGCCATTAATTAAAATTCTATTTAAAATTTATCATCTTTCTTAAGTGTTATCATCACATTCTGATAGAAACAGTTCTTTCACTCATAATCCTCTATAATAAGAGCAAAAAACCACATTTCATTTCACCACAGAAAACTACTTTATAACTTATTTAAAATAAGTATTATTTTGTGATTTGAAAATCTATAATTAAACCAATGCACTGAATATGCCAAAAATTTCAACTCAAAATTATGATTTATAATATTTTCTAATAATTGTTCCAAATGGGTTCGATATGATCATTGTATCACTAGCTATTAAAAATTGAGATTAAAAAAAATTGTCAACACATCATAAGAACATTAGAGGAAAAATTATAGAACAACTAATTTTACTTTTACCCTCAAATTTGATCATTTATCTTTTAACTTTTATTTTAATTTTAAATGATAGAATAACAAGAGAGTTTATGTTAAAACACGAGTTAAACTTATAGTGCACTTTGGATAAAAAGTTTTTGGATAAAAAGGCCTTATATTTCACATTTTTTTATAAAAAATTAAAAAATATATTAATCTTACACATCCTAAACAACACGTAGTCTTCGTTTAAGATATATGTTGAATTTTTAGTTTTTTTATTATTTAATTAATTTAATTTGAGATTAAAAGTTTCGTTTAGAATGAATTTTTTTTTATTTTTATTTTTTATTAAAAAAATAAAATAATTATAATTTAAATATAATATTTTATTTAATTAATTTTATCTTTTATGATTAAAATAACTAAAAAAAACTCACGCAAAGTATAGCCTTCGATGAAAAAATAAAAAATAAAAAAAAATAAGAAAAAGTAGTCTATATAGCCTTTTAAGGAGGAAGAAGACGAAAATAGTGTGTTGGACGTTTGAATACGCATCACGAGCATTGTAATTCGCACCTAGTAAAGGAAAGTTTGAAGTGTGAATTTAATTAGGGGAAAAGGGTGTGATGATTAGCTTTAATTATGTGTTTTGCGTTGACTGCTGTGTGTGTACAGGCTGCGAGGAGGCGCCACGTATGTGGTCCCCGCAAATAAAATGATGACGTGTCACAGACAGCAACGTGCGCTGATTGGCGGAGTGCCGCTCCCTCTGACACGTAGGGGGACCTTGTCTGTAACTTTTTGATTTGGGGGGTTTCGCCCTGGATCTGGATTTCTTCAGTCTTAAACAAAAAATGATGAGTAGGTTGAATTTAATTTATCCAAAAATTTAAATTTGTGTCTGTTACCCCTTCTTACTTTTTTTTTTTTTAATTTTTTTATTTTTTATTGTGATTATTATTTTTTGTTAACTACTTGGTAGACATTTAACAAGTCAAAAGTCAAAATTCAAGTTATTTTGCATAAATTCGAGTTACCAATGTCTTACATTGGATTGAATAGTCTAGGACGTCTCTTTAGGCTTATTTTTATTTTCTATTTTAATAATTTAAATTGTTTATATTTTAAAATTTGTTAAGTGTATTATTTTTATAAAAAAATTAAATTGATTGGATAATAAAAATCAAGTTTTCAAATCAATTTTGTATAAATTATTTATTTTTTTACAATCTATACTTTTTATATCTAAATACATGATTTTCACATTAGAATAAACCACCAATAGGTCCTAATAGTTGGACTTAATTCCCATAAAGTGTTATTGAAAATAAATCTTAATAAAATTGTCATTAAAAATAATTTTTTTACAACAACTTTTTATATATGTCGTTAAAAATTAACAATTAGTTATCTTTTTTGTCATAATTTTTATAAATTGCCGCTAAAACTTACAATTAGTGAAGTTTTCTTATGAGAATTTTTTCCTATAAGATTTAGGGGTTGTTTGGGGTGTCTTAAATTAGTGCATTTTTTATCTTTTTGAACTAAAAATTGAGAAAAAAAAGATAGATGTTTGGGTTAACTTTTTATCTTTTTACGAAAAAATGTATAATAAAAAATTGTATAAATAAAGTGTATAGTGGAAGAAAGTTGAGTGGTTGTACAGCTGCCCTGCTGTCCCAGCATGTCTTACCTAGAAAATAATTGCCTCCTTCAGGGCAAATCGATCCGTGGGGGCCACCGTGGGGGCCATTTTAATAATCTGAACCGTCAATCTGTACAACTCGTCGAGTATTATATGCTTGTAAAAAATTACGTTGATCGGATATCGATAACTATATGATCGGATTAGTTTTTTTTAACAGTTAACTATCACACTATCCATTTTGTTTATACGAAACTGAACTGATTTGATCATATAGTTAACGATATTCGATCAATGTGATGTTTTACAGACATATATTACTCGATGAGTTTTACATATTGGACGGTTCAGATTATCAAAACGGAACCCTTAGTGGGCCCCTAAGAGCCCAACATTACCATCAAACTTTGTGGCTTTACATATGTAATTTTTTTTTCCCCTAAAAGTGTATAATGGCATACTTGTTTCACAAGTATGGCTGACAGTATCCATCAAACTTTTGTATTATAAAAATATAAAATATTTTTTCAATATTTTTTATTTATGAATAGTAATGACTTTTTTATTTTTTGTGTAATTTTTTAGCTTTTTGAATTATTTTGGACTTGCCAAACCAACTCTTATTAGATAATAAGTCCACTTATTAGTACCTATACGTAAGTATCCTTTTTTATTATCTAATTAATTTGACATTTTACAAAAATAATATGTTCAACGGATTTTAAAATATAAACCATTTAGATGATTAAAACATGACTCGAAAATTAATCCAAGGGACCGGATATCATTGAAAAGGGATGGAAGGCAGGCCAAACGATTTCGTTTTTTGCTTTGGTCATGTTCCTTGGGTACACTTCCTGTACGTCCTCAACTGTAATTGTTTTATTATTATTTTTTGGATAATGATTTGTCCCCCTAATTTTTTCCCCCCGAATCCCCCGAAATCACAGAGGCAAGCGAGAGAGAGAGAGAAGGGAAGAAGAGTCCCTCTAATTTTTTCCCCCCGAATCCCCCGAAATCACAGAGGCAAGCGAGAGAGAGAGAGAGAGAAGGGAAGAAGGGGCTGCGAGCCTCGCCGCCCGTCGTCGTCGCCTCGCTGCCAGCTCGTCGCAGCAGCAGCAGCAGCAGCTCCAGCTCCGACCGCCGTCTTCGCCTCCTCCTCCTCCTCCTCCTCCTTCTTTCTCCTTCCTGTGATACCCCTGTTCCGTAATATGTTAATTGGTCCTTAATATGAATGTGATTTTGTGTTTCGATATGATTTGGTGCACCATTATGTGAAAATATGTGGTTTTGAATTTTTATCTGTTCACCGTAGGAATATCTGTTTGATTTTCCGCTTCGGAAATTAAATTGGAGGCCTTATCGGTCACAGAACCCGAAATTAATTATGCCATTGTGATTGACATAATTTTTAGAGCCTACGGTGGAATTTAATTGAAAATTGATTCGGGTCAGATTAAATCGATTAAATTGATGAATTTAGTGCCCAATTATTTAATAATATTAAGTAATGGTTAGTGGGACTTTATGTGAGAGGCCATATACACTCAATTTGTACATTTGAGCTCAAAACCAGATTTTGTGTCTTGGAATAGAGAGAGAGCCGACCTTGAGAGGGAAATGAGGCATCTTGAATTGGGAAGGCTAGGTGCAAAACTTGGCCATAATTGTGAAGATTGAGCCTCTAGGTAAGTATTGATTCTTGAATTCATGAGTTTAATGTGTAATCTTGTGTGTTCAAGGGTTGTTGTGATCAAGAGCATGATTTGAGATCATTTTGTTGGAATTGAGGCTTGATATTTGCATGCATGTAATGAACTCCCATGGAATCACAAATCTAGCATATAATTTGTGGAATTATGAAAGATTAGTAGTGTAATCCCACATGCAAGCATGTCTTTGTTAAATTTTATGGGAATGAGCACTAATTACATTATTTGAAGTGAATATGAAGTCAATAAGGGCATGCATGTACAAATTATGGGAGTATAAGTCTTGAATGTTTGAATTTGAGCATGTTGGTGATAAGGTTGTGATATTTTGGGACATGCATGCAAATAAATTATGAAATTGAGCTTCAATATGTTATAAATTATGCTTGTATCATGTTAGTACATGTCTATGAGTAATTTGAGCCATAACATGCATAAATTGTTGGTTGATAGTCGAAGTGAAGCTAAAGAACACAATTCTGGGTTTTCCAGAATTTTGAGATTCGCTCGAGCGGGAAATGCGTGCTCTCAGTACTTTTTGCAGACCTGATGTCCGCTCGAGCGAGGCAATTCACGCTCGAGCGGGGGGAGCTATTTTGACAGGCCTTCCGCTCGAGCTCCCTATTTAACGCTCGAGCGTATTTCTGATGCAACCAGTACTTTTGCAGGCCTCTTGGGTCCGCTCGAGCTAGTAAGTCCACGCTCGAGCGTGGACCCTGTTTTCTGAAATTTTGTATGCTCGTTCTGTGTTTCGTTTTCCGTTGTCTTTCACTTGTAAGCACTCTTAGGCATGCATTGAGCATTGTAAATGAGTTAACGAGATAAGAATAA